TTGGAGAAGGGCGTTTAGCGCGCTTTGACGATGCCAATTGTGCAGTACAAGCAGCTTCGCTTTCACAATACACAATTTTAAAAAACACTATGTGTGTTTAAAAATTATAATTTTCCCTAATTTCTCGCTGTCCCTCTCGTGCTGGCCCAGCTGTGATTCTTGTTGCAAATCGATGCTTCGGGCGAGCGCAAAGCACCTAGTGGAGCTATTTTGTTATCTTGATGGGTGACGACGTTCCCAGGCTGTCAGCGTATGCACTGCGCGAGTTTGCGATACGCAAGTGAAACTCGTCAGCAAGTTCGCTTACAAGGAGCTAGGGTCTTGGTATTTATATTTAGCTTTAGATTCGCAGCGCGTGTGATTTGGTTTCATGACGCGGAGTGAAGTATCCAGGTGAAAGAGAGGTATCCAGGTGAAAGAGAGGAGAGGCTAAGCTTAAATTCACTCGAATCATTAGTAGAACGAGACAGACAACCGCTGCATGCCTCGCTAAGATTGCTCCTCCTTATTTCCGAAGCGGCCGGTACACTTCAGTCGACAAACCCAGTTCCTAGTTCATCACACGTCGCACCTAGAGCCTCTGGCATCAGCCGTCTATCTTCTCCGCTCATGTCCGTCTCGAGTCCAAACCTTAGCTTCCCTTCCTCTTCCTGGCTCTCATACCTCACGGCCGTGCCACCTCCTCCGAGTCCGCGGGAGATTAAGGACTTCGTCTTTGGCGGTCGCGATTCCAAGGAGTCGCTCGACCCGTACAGGCGGGAGGTCCGGGAAGGGCAGGTACAATGGTGCCTGGCTGTGCTGCTGCTGGTTATCGCTTCCGTGTTGCTCGTCGTAATCCTCGTGGAGGAAGCTTCGGAGCAACCCACTGGGTCACAGATGCTCATAACGCACTATGTGAGTGTGAGCTTGCTGCTCTTGTTAGTTTCATTCACATGACAATAGACTCATCAGTTTGTGCTTAGTTTTTTTATCTGGAGAGCAACAAAGTTGTTTTACCTTGTTTTCCTCTTCTTTTTTACTCATGCTGTCTGCCTGTGTTCATGCTGTTATTCTTGCCCCTTCTACCAGCCCCTGCTTCCAAACTCATCGGCCCCTGCATTAGCTAAGTGGCTTCCCCTCAATGCCTCTGCTCAGGTGAACACATCAACCAGTAAGCTATTGAATGCTGAGATCAAGGAACATAATCATAGTTCCGTGAAAAATAGCTTAGACAATAGAACAGGTGGCGCCTCAGACCGTGAGGCACCATAATAGTTGACCATCAACTTTAGATCAGTTGCCCAGCATGTTACTGATTGTAAGCATCTCATATTCTGTATTAATATGAATCCAAGACTGTTACTGGTAATCGGTCAGTCACGTCTGAAAGACAGAATGAACGGACGCTTCTACTAGTAAATCAGGGACAGGGGTGTTAGACATACATGAGAATACTAGCCTACGGATGACAAAACATATAGCCAGGTCAAGGGGACTAATTTGAAGGCCTTCAAGAAAGTTCCAGCTCTCTTCGGAAAACGTTGGTACAACTCCACGTTTAATTGAAGAAACCTGGCTCTTATGAACAAAAAAACTTCATAGAACGCGCCGCGTCCGTCGAAGCCTGTGGGTGGACAACAAGAAACAATTCGTTGTGTTTCGTAAGATAACCGTCTCACCGGGCGTAGTGCAAAATGAAATTGCTGCTAGCTGCAGATCTTTTCAAAAGGTATAAACGTACCTTTCACTCGTCGTCTGCGGGTTCAAGGCTCTCAATCTCGTCTTGATATCTCTTTTTATCGTCTTCCGCCATCTTCATGTATGGCTGCGAATTCATGACAAGGCAAAAGAGTAACGTCAGTCTGACGCTACTATGGAAAACTGCCATTACACGAACTGGAGTTAGATGAACCGTCAGTCGCCAGTACACGAGAGGGTATTCAAAGGCAGAATTACCCACCCTCTTCTCTTTGTCGTCCAACTCCTTCCACTGAGCTCCCAAAATCTTCCCAAGCTCTCCGAAGGAAACGTCTGGATTGTTGGACTTCACAACTTCTCTTTGCTCTTTGCAGTAGAACATGTACGGAGCTAACGGCCGCTTCGGAGCATTCGGGTCCTTCTTCTTCTTCCCTCCCTTCTCCTTGCCCTTCGCTGCTTTCGGCATGACAGGCGAACCTCTGGTGGAAGGGCCTTCAAATACCAACCGAACACTAAAAGATAAACTTCTTCCTAACAAAACCGCGCAGCAACAAAGAGAGAAAGCAAAGAAAGCTGAGAACTGAAGCTCTGAAACCCCAATGAGAGAACCTTGGGTGGCCTGCTGACTACTTGAGGCTGGTTTCCGCTTGGCAGATCAGTCAGTTGCTCGAGGCTCCGCTCACTTGCTCGCCCAGGCGGAGAGGCACGAATCTCGCTGCGAGAATTGCCAGGCAATATTTGCCCGTGAATCTTCTCAGGCGAATTGGGAACGCTAGTGCAAATTCTACTGCGAGACGCAATGCTCATGGAGACATCCCACTCAAAAGCTGCCGTGAAATGCGCCGATTCTTGGTTCCTCTTCTCAACCAATGAAAGAATAACAATGGTTTCGGCATCCAATGAATGCTCTCTCCAGCCAAATTGGCTGGTGACTTCACTGATGAGTGCGCGCAAGGCGTGGTGCACCCCATCGACAAATTACCAGAAAACGTCCAGCCTAGGCTGCCCAGAGCAGCCTGAAAACTTTGTCCAGCAGGGAATTGCTGCCCGAATGCCTACCGTTACAGCTTGTCGCCAGGCGACTCCCTCCCCGAATGAAACGTGTCCGCGGAGAGAATAAAATGTATCTGACCGTTCAGTGGCTAATCCGAGGGCCGTTGTGTGTCAGGGGGAACGGAATCCCCGTCAATCACACCAACAGCCTGCCAATGAGAGCTGCTTGCCTCTGCACGGCGAAGCCCTGCCCTCGCGCGACGTCACTCACAACGACTACTTTCTGGTGAAGCACATGTGTTAAAAACGAAATATGCTATCAACAAAAATTGCCTAAACATCTATTGTAGAACATTAGGATTTACATTACATACATTGGAAGAAATGCACACATTCACAGGAGTTGCCTGTGAATTATATATCGAATTTAATTTTCGCTTCTCACTGAGTTCATAGATTTTAACATGCGTTTTGACGAGCCCACCCTTTAACATGCGTTAACTGATTCAATACGAAAAGGGTTATCTGAATAGCATATACACAGTTGATTCTTTGTACACGTAAGCTCGTAGCGAGGATTGCTGCGAGTCGTCAGTGAAACCTGGGGGATTTGGGATCTGCTCCCTCCAGTATCGAATTCTGCTGACAGTTTCCTTTCTCCCATTCTTCCTCGTCTCCCCTTCTTTCCGCCTTGAGTTGAATCTCATCTCATCTATCGATCCCATTGTCGCCGTTGCTGTTCCACTAGATTACTTATTGGGGAAATTATATGAGGTCACAATCATGCCCGTTTTATCACGTTTGCTCACAGGGGTATCACAAACAGTCACAGTACAGTAGATTTATATCGCGGGTGATCACAGTGCTATCACGGATGGTCACACCTCCCCCCGAAAAGCTATCACGTTTGGTCACTCGATGAAACGATCATAATTAATTTGAAACCACTAAAGAAACAGTGGAAATTTTAGGGAATCCCAACCTTGATTGCTTGTTACCCCGCGCATTATTCTAGCCCTGACATTTAGGGAATTGAAGAAAAACTTAAAACCCCTACTGGATGGCACGTCGTTCGGGAGGCATCAACCCTAAACACTATGCGACAAGGTGTTTAGGGTTGATGCTCCCGAATTATATCCTATCCGAAGGGGTTTTAGTTTTTGTACTGGGAGCAAAAATTAACCTTAGAGTTTCACCCGTCTAAAAGTGATATTCTTAGGGACATTATGCATCGATCGAACAGTGGACATTCGAATAGTAAGGGTGCGTTTCTATCCCGTGTCAGACATTAGGTTTGACACGAATTGGAGGTTCGGAAGACCCGAAGTGGCTCGTTTTTGGGGCGATTGGAAGTTCGGAAGAGACAAATTGGAGACTAAGGCCGCATGACTTGATGTCTGACACGGGATAGAAACGCGCCCTAAAGAAGAAATTGCAGAGGTTTTTAACGAGTTACCGAGAGTTGTCGCGAAACTTTTTCGTGATGCTACGGACAAAACGGCGCGCGGGATAAAATTTCCCCTGAATCCATACAGTGACTTGAGTAGTTACAGTTCTCGATTGGGCGTTTCATCTGTGACCAAACGTGATAGACTTGCGGGGCAAGGTGTGACTATCCGTGATAGCACTGTGATCACACGCGATAGTTACGAGGTGTACTGTGACTGTTCGTGATACCCCCGTGACCAAATGTGATAAATCGGGCCTAATTGTGACTACCCATATAATTTCCCTACTTATTGCGTTTCTCGTCTGGCCTCAGTGTACTGTATCATCAGCATTCTCTCTTTTCGCTACTGGAAGCGCTGGTCACGGTTCAGTCGGGCCTTAGCAGGCGAGTTTCGCATCTGCAAACTCGTTGCAAGCGCAGCCACCAAATGCTCGCATGGATTAGTCCGACGTGCTTTTCATGCGATAATCTCTGTCAGCCATCCTGTTCCGTTAGTTTCGCGCAGGCTGGTCTGAATCTGGCTCGTGCCTAGTGCACAATGCCGTGCTTAGCAGTCACACCTTGATAAGATAGCATTTCCTAAGATAATCATCGATTTCTCTCATTTACTCACCAGCATCCACGGCGAAAGCGGATGTTGTGTGACCAACAGCTCCGAGCTTCATGTGAAAGGCATCACAGAACCTTTTCGTAGGAACCAGTATCCAGCAACCAGAAAACTCCGTGCGTCTTGGTAGTGTGCTCTTACATTACCCGTTCTTCAGATCCTCAGGTACCGTAGTTAGTGTAGTATCGTTGTTTCTCTAATTACCGTATTTACTGTAGAATCTGTAGTTACTGTAGTGATCGCAGTTGCCGTTTTCACCAAGAGTGTCCCGGGATGGCTCGGCCGGTGTTCGACTCCAAGTACCCGGCGAGCCACGTGCCACGTCAGCTGCAGGCGGCGCTGGTGGTGTCGGTGGTGGTGATGCTCGCCGTGCTCACCATGCACAATGCCAACATGACCGCGCGCTCGTACGCGATACAAGAGGACTTGAATCGAACCGCCGCGTTCGAGCAGCTGCTCGACCGACGCTTCCAGGAGATTTCCGTTCTGGTAATGCACCCGTCTTGATTGGCTTTAGTTGACCTGCATTGTTGTCTGAAGTGCACCAGTCTTCAAGGCGTCACCTCTCACCCTCTCCCAACCTCCTTAGGCGCTCATCCCATCTTTCTTCTCTCCCCTCTTCCCTTTTAAGCTCTTCATCATATCCCCCCTCTCCTCTCCCCCGTTTCCCCCGCATCCCCATCCTCCCCCACGTCGATTTCAGGAGCGCATCGCCAAGCCCAACACAGCACACGTGGATTACGAACCTAAACATGCTCATTCCCCATTCCCCTTCCCTCTCCTCCCCGCCTCCCCCCTTCCTCCCCCACGCCAGTTCCAGGAGAGCATTGCCAAATCCAGCACAGCACACGCGGATTTCGAACCCTCCTCTCTCTCCTCCGGCAACCCCAACAGCATCCTCCGCCTCTCCCACAGGGGCCCTCGGCGCCTGTGCACGTACACGGAGAGCGAGCTGCGCGCCATCCTCGCGCTGCGCCACTGCTGCGGGTGGAAGTGCAACCGGTACTTCTATGGCGGCGCTTGGATCGACTGGAAGACGCTGGATGAGGAGTTTCAGAAGGGGCATGCGCGGGTGCGGGAGGAGGAGGAGGCGGAGTGCGTCCTGGCGTGCAAGCAGCATGAGAACCTGGGGTGCAGCAAGGAGCAGCCGTGCGTTAATGGGTACTACCTGCGCCGCAACACCACTGGTAGGGCGTTTTCTGGGCTCCCCATTCCTGTTTCAGTCCCTTGGTAGGTTAGAATCAGATGAGAACAGCATGAGAAATTGGAGTGCAGCAGGGAACAGCCGTGCGTTAACTGGTATTACCTGCGCAGGAACACCACTGGTGAGATGCTGGCTGGGCTCCATTCCTGTTGGAGTCATTTGGTAGGTTAGAATCGAATGAGAGCAGCATGGGGACCTGGGGTGTGGCAAGGAGCAGCCATGCGTGAATGGGTACTACCTGTGGCACAACACCACTGGTAGGTCTAGTTGGTTAGTTTCGTTCCTGATCATTCCTAAAGTAAGCAATTGTGAAGTCAGCTGTCCACCACTGGTACTCAGCTCGTTGCTGTGCTTTGTTTCCTCCTAACATGCCTGCGGGGTGACAGATGCACAGATGTGGAGCCTATGGAATGGGGCTGCTTGCAATGTTTCTTAACAAAACTGTTTGCTCTTTTCAATCTACTTGAAAGTCATTTCCAACACTCTGGTGGGGTCGCGGATGGGATGAATGTGGGGTCTGTGGGACACCTGCTTGCTCGCAGGTTGCTTGGACACGTGCATGCGAAACCCGAAATGGTGACAGTGCGCCTAACGTGACATAACATGGCAATACGTGACAAGAGATACCTTGACATCCTGTGACATGACATGACATGGCAAGCCAATCATTGGTCTTGCCACACTCCTTTCCCCCCGGCGACACACTGTCACAATCGATTTTTCAAGCGCCTTAAGAATCGCCTCTCTGCCACTTTCGGCAGACACTCTGGACGAGCAGAGCTTCCTCACGCTGTATTTCCACTTCCACTTTCACTTAGGCTTCACGTCCCTGCCTTGCACTCACTCCTCGAGCAAGTCATTGCTTTCACCAACCACACCCCTTTCGCCCCCCTGCCACTGCTCGCAGACACGCTGGCGGTGTGGCAGGCGAACGGTTGGGAGGCAAGCGAATCATTTCTTTACCCACTTCGATTTCTTTCGCATCCTTGCCATTGTTCACAGGCACACTGGTGGTACGGCAGGCGTACGAGTGGGGAGAGCAGAATTTCCTCAAGCCGCACTTCCACTTCCACTTGGGCTTCACGCCCCTGTCTTGCACTCACTCCATTCTCCAGTGTGTCTCGCCCATCACACACACCAGAAACCACAATACATACTGTTTCCGTCCGTGTGTGTTACCCTCCCTGCATCAGACACGCTGGTGGTGCGGCAGGCGTACGAGTGGGGAGAGCAGAACTTTCTCAAGCCGCACTTCCACTTTGACTCCATCCTTGACGCCGGGGCCAACATCGGACTCACCTCCGTGCTCTTCGCCACCATGTGAGTGTTTGTGTTCTCTGTACTGACGTAAGCTTCTGTGATTTTGACCTTTTCTTCAATGTCAGCCAGGGCCAACATTGGACTCGCCTCCGTACTCTTCGCCACCATGTGAGTGGCTGTTACTTCTGCGTCTGGACCCTGTCAGAACCCCATCAGGTACCCCAAGGCAACGATCATCAGTGTGGAGGCATCGTCTCGCAACTTCCGTTCGTTGAAGCTCAACACACAGCCCTTTCCCAACACACAGCCCTTCCCCAACACACAGCCCTTCCCCAACACACAGCCCTTCCCCAACACACAGCCCTTCCCCAACACACAGCCCTTCCCCAACACACAGCCCTTCACCTCTGAACACTGAATCCAAATCCCTGAACCCGAAACCCCCACCAGATACCTCAAGGCAACGATCATCAGTGTGGATGCGTCGTCTCGCAACTTCCAATCATCTAAGCTCTCAGCACCCAGCCCTTCCCCGACATCATCGGTTTACCCTGGAATGCTGAACCCAAAACCCCGAGCCTTGAACCTAAACCCCCGAACCCTAAGCTCAAAACTTTGACCGCCGCTATCCCCCAATCAGGTACCCCAAGGCGACGATCATCAGTGTGGAGGCATCGTCTCGCATCTTCCGCTCGTTGAAGCTCTACACACAGCCCTTCCCCAACATCATCTCCTTGACTCCATGGGATCACTTTCCCTTCAACCCTCCATGTCTCCCCCACCTCTGCAGCCCTTGAACCTTGGGACCAACCGCCTTACCCTGAACCTAAACCCAAACCCGTGCAACCCATCTCCCAACCACTGCTACCCCATCTCACATCAGGTACCCCAAGGCAACGATCATCAGTGTGGAGGCGTCGTCTCGCAACTTCCGCTCGCTGAATCTCAACACACAGCCCTTCCCCAACGTCATCGCTGTCAACGCTGCCCTGTGGCCGCGCGTCGCCTCCCTCTCCCTCACCCTCGGGCAGAGGAACCCCGAGCTGCCGCCTGAATGGGCCTTCATGGTCAAAGAGACCCGCGATGTGAGTCTCCTTCTTCTCTTGGTGTCATTCTTGGTGACACTCTTGGTGGCTGTAGCATGTGAGTCGCCTCCCTCTCGCTCACTCTCGGGCAGAGGAACCCAGAGCTGCCACCCGAGTGGGCCTTCATGGTCAAGGAGACGCGCGATGTGAGTCTCCTTCTTCTCTTGGTGTCATTCTTGGTGACACTCTTGGTGGCTGTAGCATGTGAGTCGCCTCCCTCTCGCTCACCCTCGGGCAGAGGAACCCCGAGCTGCCCCCCGAGTGGGCCTTCATGGTCAAGGAGCGACGTGAGTGGCATGGGGTTCCTGGCTTTAGCATGTGAGGGGCAGTCTTGGTGCCATGGATGGCTGTAGCATGAATGCCCTCCCTCACGCTCACTCTCGGGCAGAGGAACCCCGAGCTGCCCCCTGAATGGGCCTTCATGGTCTAGGAGATGCGCGATGTGAGTGGCATTTGTGGTGGGATTTCTGGCTGTATAGCATGTGACTGGCATTCTTGGTGGCTGTAGCAAGTAATCTGCCGGGGGTGATGATAGCAGGAGATTTTGCCCTTTCATTTATCGTGCTCCACCATGCCTCTCGTTTGGTATTCTCTTCCTGCAAAGCATGATCATGCTAGGTCGGGTGCAGAATTTGGCCTTTCCTGCAAATTTGAGTTTTGAGTCACCCGACCCACCACCACCACATGCTGCTCTGCTGCCACTTCCCTGCATCTCTTCTCCATCTACCTTGAATAATCGCCACCACCTACAGCTGTTTGCATCTGGCATAGCCTCTCCCACCCTCCGCTTATCTCTCTGCATATGTTGACCTTTGACCTCTCTTTCACATGCACTGCCTTGTCTCTGTTCCTCCAGTCTTCCAGCAGTCTCTCTGTCATCTCCAATGAAAGGTCAGACTGACAATGTTTTTTTCCTTCTCTCGTCTTATACCTCTCCCGCCATCCAGCTCGAGCCCGGGCAGGTTGTGGAGGACTCCCTTCTCGGCGTGACCGTGCCATTCCTCCTCAAAGTTTTCGGGCTGCCCGGATTCGACTTCCTCAAGATCGACATCGAGGGCAGCGAGGGCGAAATTTTCCGTGAGGACCGGGAGACGGATCTGGGGTGGGTGAACGAGTCGAAGCTGGCAGCACTGGAGCTTCATGGGGACATGGTGCCTGGCTCGAATGTGACTGTATTGAATTTCTTCAACAGCCGCAGCAATTTCCACCATAAGAAGGATTGGTCGGGGGAGTATGAGGTGTTTATGCGTAACGACGCTAATCTGTCCTAGTTAGAGAATGTTTTTGTGATACTAGTAACATCCTCGTTAGTACACTTACGCGAGGACAGGGAGTTGGATCTGGGGTGGGTGAACGAGTCGAAGCTGGCAGCACTGGAGCTGCATGGGGACATGGTGCCTGGATCGAATGTGACTGTATTGAATTTCTTCAACAGCCGCAGCAATTTCCACCATAAGAAGGATTGGTCGGGGGAGTATGAGGTGTTTATGCGTAACGACGCTAATCTGTCCTAGTTAGAGAATGTTTTTGTAATACTAGTAACATCCTCGTTAGTACACTTTACGCGAGGACAGGGAGTTGGATCTGGGGTGGGTGAACGAGTCGAAGCTGGCAGCACTGGAGCTTCATGGGGACATGGTGCCGGGATCAAATGTGACAGTATTGAATTTCTTCAGCAGTCGCAGCAACTTCCATCACAAGGACTGGTCGGGGGAGTACGAGGTGTTTATGCGTAACGATGCTGACCTGCCCTAGTGGATCACCTCACCATTAATGGTACAATGTGCTATTCTTTTCTCAGATAGCATGTGTCTGGACTGGATTATCATTAGTACCGTACCCTTCTTTTCCGCAAGGACAGGGAGATGGACCTCG